CCCAATAAGTAATTTCTAAACCTTAAACCCCCTCCCACCTCCCCCCTTATTGGTGTCTACAGTGTGTGTCCATTTAGTTCCTGCATATAAATGAGAACATGTGGTGTTTGATTTTCTGTTTCTGAGTCAGGTTACTTAGGATGATAATGTCCAGCTCCACCCATGTTGTTGCAAAGGTAACAATTTCATTATTTTTATGGCTGTGAGTATTCCATGGTGTATGTGTATCTCTTTTTCTGTATCCAATCATTTATCGGTGGGCGCTTAGGTTGGTACTGTGATTTTGCTTTTGTGAATAGTGCTGCAGTAAACATATGAGTACAGACACCTTATTTTTTTTTTTTTTTGAGTTGGAGTCTCACTTTGTTGCCCAGGCTAGAGTGTAGTGGCGTGCTCATGGCCACCCCAGCGTTGACCTGCTAGGCTCAGGTGATCCTTCCACCTCAGCCTTCCAAGTAGCTGGAACTACAGGCACATGCTACCATGCCTGGCTAATTTTTTGATTTATTGTAGAGAGGATTTCTTGCCAAGTTTCCCAGGCTATTCTCGAACCTGTAAGCTCAGGCCATCCTCTGACCTTGGCCTCCCAAAGTGCTGGGATTTCAGGTTTGAGTCACCACACCTGGCCACTGCTCGTTCTATAAGAACATAAACTGTTCGATCATCAGCATGATTCTAAAGAATAAGGGCAGGATCATGAATATGGAAGTCTGTGCTGATGATGTTGACAATACTGGATGTAAGATTTAAAAATTTTCTGTACTTTTTGTGTTTGATTTTTATGTATTATTTGTGTGAAAAGTATTATAAACTTATTGCAATACAGTACTACCTGTATATAGCCAATTGTGTTAGTTGGGTACCTAGGCTAACTCTGTTGGACATTCGAACAAATTGGACTTACAAATGCTCTCTCGGCACCCAACTTGTTAGCATGTAGGGGACTTACTGAGTTTAAATGCCACCACCAGTGATGAGCTTTCCTTTCTCTCTGCTCCTGTGCCAGTATTTGTTGTACTCTGACTTTCTAATAATAGTCATTCTGACTGGTGTGAGGTGATATTTCATTGTGACTTTAATTTGCATTTCTCTGATGATCAGTGTTGTCAAGCAGTTTTTCATATTTGTTGGCCACTAGTGTGTCTTCTTTTGAGAAGTGTCTATTCATGTCCTTTGCCCATTTTGGATAGGCTTATTTGTATTTGTTTTTTTCATATTGAATTTTTTTGAGTTCCTCATAGATCCTGGATATTAGCTCTTTGTCTGAGGTGTAATTTGCCAACATTTTCTCCCATTCAGTAGGTTTTCTCTTCATTCTATTGATTATTTCTTTTGCTGTGGAGAAACTTTTTAGTTTAATTAAGTCCTATTTATGTATGTTTGTTTTTGTTGCAATTACATTTGGGGTATTTGTCATAAATTCTTTGCCTAGGCTGATGTTCAGAAGAGTGTTTCCTAGGTTTTCTTCTAGAATTTTTATAGTTTCGGGACTTACATTTAAGTCTTTAAACTGCCTTGAGGTAATTTTTGTATATGGTGAAAGGTAGGGGCCCATTTTTATTCTTCTGTACATGGCAAGCCTATGCAATTTTCCCAGCATCATTTATTGAATAGAGTGGCCTTTCACCATTGATGATTTTTTTCAGCTTTATTAAAGATTAGTTGGTTGTCGGTATGTGGTTTTATTTCTGGGTTGTTTATTCTGTTCAATGTTTTGATTTATTTACCATTTTCCTTTTTAATTTTTATTATTATATATTTTTGAATTAGGGTTTCCCTTTATTACCCAGACTGGAATGCAGTGGCACAATCACAGCTCACTGCAACCTCCACCTCCTGGGCTCAGGTCACCCTTCCGCCTCAGCTTCCAAAGTAACTGGGACAACAGGCATGTGCCACCATGTCCGGATAATTTTTTCTTGTTTTTTTGTAGAGATGAGATCTTGGAATAGTGCCTATGCTGGTCTCGAACTCCTGGGCTCAAGCAATCCTCCTGCCTTAGACTCCCAAAGTGCTGGATTACAGCACTGGCCTCATTTTTCTTTTAAAAAATTTTTTTACCTCATTAATTTCTACTTGCAACTTTTTGATTTTATTTCTTTTTCTTCATTTTGGTTTACTTTGTTGTTCTTGTTTCAGCTTTCTATGTTGGGAATTTAATTTAGATATTGTTATTATTTGATTTTCACTTAAATTTTAACTTACAAATTTTAGGGAGGACACAAACATTCAGACCACAGCAGGTAGAGTCAAAGGATTTTATCAGCTGAAACAGTTTACTCTCATTTTTTGTTGTTATATAAAACAGGTTCATATGAATAGATTTACATGAAACTTGCCTCCAGTTTTCTATATTTTTGAAATGTCTTCAATTATCCTGGGCTAATTTGATATTCTGTATGGAGAAGATTAGAGGTTTCAATTGTTTCTGTGACTCTTAGTTTCTTAGTTCTTTAGTTTTTTTTTTTTTGGCTATTGATATTTATTTGTCAAGAAAATTAGCCCTTTATTCATAAAATGTGCTGCAAATATATTCTCTAGCTTATGTGATTTTTTTCTTCTTCATTTGATTTCTATCTGGAATGTAACGTTTTTTATATTAACATTTTTCATACTCTTTTTCTTTCTAATACTTTATTTATGGACTTTTTCCCCACTCTGAGATTTAAATATGTATATGTATTTATGCAAGTATTCCTATCTCCCATCTTTGAATCCATTCGTGTTTATTTTTTAAATCTTAGATTTTTCTGGGGTTTATTTTTAAGTAGGACATGAGGTAGCCCCCACCATATACATTGTACTCAGTCTATTAATTTTGAGTATATAACATCCAGTGGATTCTTCTTTTTATTATATCACTTTGTGTTTTCAAATTATTTTGAGATGTATCAAGTGTTTTTGTCCATTTATTTCTCCTTAGATCTCTCTTGGAGCCTCTGACCAGCACCAGTGTAGATAGGTTCTCCTCTGTTTGGTTAATGCTGTCATGTTGGAATCATCCTGGGATTCCCTTTGCCTCTTTCCTGTGTTCATTATTCTCATATTTCTTGGTTTGTTTCCTCATAGTAAGTAGAGTGATAATATGATAAATGATTTTGGAAAGATTATAACAAGCCAAATCACAAAGAGCCTCCTGTGTCATGATAAGGAGCTTTAGCTTCATCTCAATGGCTGTGGTAACTGTTGAGAGTATTTTATAGGTGGATGAAAGAAAAGAAGGTTAGATAAATCCTGTTGTAATTTAGGAAAGATATAATGGTGCACTGAAATAAGTCAGCAATAGTAGAAGAGTCATTCTCATAGAATTTGGGGATTAATGAGGCAAGGGAGAGACGGTGAAAGTCAAGGAGTGTCCTTAGATTTCTGACTTCGGCTATTAAGTTGTTCCTCAGAATAGTAGTATCATGTGTAGGACAAGCGCTGAGTTTATAATTTTGGACATGATGTGCAAAAGATTGCAATATATCCTTCATCTGCATTCACCAAATGTTAACATTTTACTATGTTTACTTTATAATTTCTCTCTCCCCCTCCCCCCACCCCCCGTGTGTGTCTGTGTGTGTTTTCTGATCAATTTGAGAGGAAGTTTGTAGACATGATATTCTTTTGCCTCTAATTACTTTACTGAATATTCCCTTTAAAACAAGTCATTAATTTCAAAATCAAGAAAGTAACACTGATTCATTGTTGTCAACTTATCTACAGACTTTATTCAGATTTTGCCCGTTGTCCCAATAATGTTCTTTATGGGAAACAGAACTTGCAGATCTTGAATTGCAGTCAGTTATCATGTCTCTGTAGTCTCCTATAATCTGGAACAGTTTTTTGGCCTATAACTAGTGGAAATTTGAATAACTTTGGGATTATGTGTGTGTATGTATGTGGGTTGGTGTTGGTATAGGAAACAGAGTTGTGACTGTGGTCCTTGGACCACAAAGGATAAATTAGAATCAGGAATGGACTGTGGGGAATTGGATTTTCTACCGGAAGGCAGAAACATATCTACTACTTAAGAATGCCTCTGCATTGATTCTGTTTTTTACCCCAGATGATGATTTGGTTTTAATAATTTGTTTCAGGAACTAGGTGAGACTACTTATATATGTAGGCATCCTTAAATGGAAGCATATACATGACTGTGTAAATTGTCCCTACCTGGCAATATAGCATCCAATATAAAAATACAGTAGTGTGGTAAAAAAAAAAAAAGTGAACTTCTTAAATCTGCCTTGGATATGCAGTGTTACTGCTAGGTGCAGGCCTTGGGAACTTATGTAGTCCTGCTCTCTCTAGTGGTCTTTCTAATATTACAATTCTGTATTTCTCTCTACTTATTTGTTGACTAACTGTGTGTGTATGTTTCCTACTTGCTTATTGATAGAAATAATATACAAAAATCTGTTAAAAGGAAAAGTAGCATTATTTCTTGTCACTATTCATCCCTCTGTTGTGTCATACTTTAATCAAAGAATGTTATAGGAATTTAGGTTTTTCTTTTGTGTCATGTATTAGGGATTGTTTTTATTTTATGTTTGTTAAGACCTCAGATGTATAGACTAGAGATATGATCTTTATGTATGTAGATTTTCTCAGAGATTCCTATCCACACGCAGTTGTGACTGCTAGTTGTATTATTTATTGCCAGACTTCCAGTTATGTGGTTGAGTAGTCAAGAGGCAGGCTTTGTTGTTCAGTTGGCTTAGATATGAATCTAACTAATTTTGGGGAAATTGCTTAACTTTTCAAGATTTATTTTTCTCTTTAAAATGAGGATAATATTGTCAGCTGTTTGTGACTAATTTTCAGGTTTAAATGACATAATACATTTAAAAATTTTTGTTTGTGGTCCAGCACAAATTGAGAATGCAGAAAACAGTAGCTGATATTATTTTACTTCCTGCCGTGTTTTCTTATTGTAATCTGGTTACTCTAAGACTTGAGATTGTCCTATCTTTTTTCATGTTTTCTCAAAAAGCATCTTAAAATATCTTCCACAGGATTTTGTCTCCACAATTATTCGTTTACTGGACAGCCCTTCAACTTGCATTAGAGCAAAAGCTTTCCTGGTACTTCTGTATATTTTGATTTATAACCGTGAGATGTTGCTGCTCAGTTGCCAAGCAAGGTAAGATTTTCTCTGATGGTTTCATCAGTAACTTCAATTTGGTACCTGTTTTGCTAGTAGTTGTATATACATATCATAGGTCATTTATTGGCCTCTGTGTAAGCTGGTATTGAATTTTTTTCCCTAAATTTTTCTGAGGGTTTAATATTTGACTTGTAATCTCAGCTTGGAAACACTGAGGACCAAGCGAAGACCTCTGAAGCTGAGACAGTGTGAGAAATGCCTGGTGTGTCCTAAATCTAAGACAATCCAAGGCAGAGTGTTAAGGTTGGTTCTGGTTTGTACTTTTGAGAGTCAGTTTTGGAACAGTGATTTTGTTGTATTTTTTAATTATTGTTGGATTCTGGAACAGGTAGCTGGAGGCCCAGAAGGAATAGGCTCATGAAGTACAAGAAGGAGCAGGGCAGGGGGCAGGAGTTTATGGACTGCTCCTAGAATGGCAGATCTTTCTCTCTGGGTTGCAATTCCTTCCTCTAAAAGGAAGAGCTGTCCTGAATGCTCCTCACATTTCCTTCATGTTTGGATACTTTCTGATTAACATCTTCAGTTGAACTGTCTGATCCATGCTCCATCGCAGCCTAGAGGGTCCCTGAAAATCTGGTTTTGTGTCTATTTCTAGATCCAGATTTTTACTTGTTCTGGAATATTGAGCAGAGCCTTGGAAGTACTGAGATTGATCTAGACTAAAGGTTGGCAGACTTTTTCCTATAAATTGCCAGAGAGAAAATATTTTGGGCTTTGTGGGTAGAGAGGTAAAATTGGGGATATTATGTACATACTTATATAACAAGAGAAAACAAAAATTTCTACATTTTTATTGCTAAAAAATATACAAATAATATATATAATATATATAATTTTTTTTGGTAATACCAATGAGAATAACTTTTGTGTGTAGGGGAGATAACATATTATTTAATTGGGAGTTGAAGTTAGTGTCCCCATCATCAAATCCATTGCAGATGCTTTTCTGTTATGTTGATTTTCAATGTTTTTTAATATGTTTTATCTTTGAAAATGTCTTCACACAGATAAGTACTGCCAAATGCCAGTATCAGTTTATGAGCACATGATTTTAATTGAGCATATTTATCACTGGGAAAGCATTTGTAGAATTCTGTTAAATTTTTCTCTAACAGAATATTTGCCTTTCAGCATGTCATTATTTTGTAGATTAAACACTTTCCATTAAAGGGTATATGGAACCTTGTAACAAGCTTCCTTGTTTCTCGCCTCCTAGGGATCACTTTCCTTTGTTATTTTAGGTCTGGTATCTTGAAATCTGATGTTTCAGGTGATTTGTCTATTTTTCGGTTGCTTTGGATGGGAAGGTGAATCCTGTCCCAGTTAGTCCCTTTTTGCTAGAAGTGGAAATCAGACCTGTTTATTTATTTTGAAGAGCCTTATCACTGGCTTTGCTACCTTTGGTTTCTCCTTTTGTTTCCCATCATTTTTCATCAGTATAACTGATACAGTTTCTCAGCAGATCTCCTTACATCATTTCTTGTACTCACAGTCTTGGTCTCCATAAGTTTTTGTTGCTTTCTTGCTCAGACTCTTCCAGTAACATCCAATCACACTGAATAATACCCCCTGCCCTTACCACGGCCTGGTCTACCCTAGTTCCTGCCCACCTCTTGGCTATTATCTTCTACAACTCTTCCTTGTGCTCCCTCCATCCCAGTCACATGGTTTTGCTGCTTTTGGAACACAATAAGCCTACTGCAGTCCCCTCAGGGCTTTTCTTAGTTTGCTGTTCCCTGTACCTGTGAAATCTTCCTCCAGCTGTTTGCATGGTTTGCTTCCTCAGGTCATTTAGGTCTCTGTTTCAGGGTTACTTCTCCTGAGAGCCACTCTGATTATCCTATCTAAAATAACCTCTGTAACCCCAACACAAGAAACTCTTTAATTGGAAGGAAGGAAACCACTCTGACCTCCAGACCCTGAGTGTGACACTTGTGGTTCTCCCAGAGAATAGCTGTGACTTCTGCATCTCTGAATATTTAGAAACTTTATCAGTGGCAGGAAGATGGTGGTCAGAAGGCCCCACCCTAACTTCCACTTTGCTTGTTTTCTGGAGCAATACAACAAGCAGCGTGAGTCTAGAGAGGGGCCTGGCAAGTGAGCTCAGCCTTGTGAGGGAAATGAAGCAGGCTCTTTTCTTCCTGTACTGTGTGGCAGAGATGGCTTCCTGTATTTGGGCCCCTAAACTTGGAGTGAGTACTAGACTTCCAGGCTTCTAAAGGGCCCAAAATGCACATGCTTTATGCATATAGTAGGTAGGGCCTATAGTCCTGTTCCCAAGAGATCTGGAGCAGGACTGAAATGGTGGGCCAATCTGCCCCAATCTAGGAAGATATTACCTTCTTGGTCTGACACATGCTGAGTAAATTGACCGAAGTCAATAGGCAGATACTTGTTTCTGCTCATTTAGGGAAACACAGTGTTTGAAGGAGAAAGAATGGGAAGACCAGGCAGTTCTTACTGAGGCAGAACTAGGAAGGAACAGAAAAGAATTTAAACAATTAATTAAACTCTAAGGAGAGACAGTTTCTTTGAAAGTCAGTGGAAGAATTGAAAGAGAATGACCTCTGCTGGGGATGGCATTAGTACTTTGAAAGGCAGTATGAAGGAACACATTGAGTCATTCAGAGCTCGTGACAAAGACATGGAAAATTCATGTGAAAAAAATAGGAAATATGGAGTGGAGATCCAGGAGACCTCATATGCAACGTGCCAAGAATTCCAGGAGGAGGAAAGGAACCAATGGAGGAGGATTTCTAATCGAGGAAATCATAGCAGTTCTCTGTTGGACGTGCTCTCTTCTGATATTATATTCAAATGAGAGCAAAGGAATTAAAATGGCATAAAACCACAAGGGCATAGGCAAAGGGAAAGATGGCTAAAGCAGATGACTGTTTTTGGAAGCTAGAAATTACCACATATGAATGGTCTAAGTCAGTGCTCATTTATTAATCTGACAGTTTCATGGGTCAGGAGTCTGGGCCGGGTGTAACTGGATCCTCTGCTCACATCTCATACACTTGAAGTCAAGCTGTTGGTGCTGTGACTCTCATTTGAGGCTCAGGCTTCCAGGATTACTGATTATTGGCAAACTTCATTTCCTCCCAGTTGTAGGACTGACATTCTCATTTTCTTGCTGCTGTTTGCCTGGGGCTCATGTTCAGCTTCTAAAGGCCGTCTCTCTTCTTCTTTGGCAGTTTTCTGTATAACTATTTACCTTCTTCCTGGTAGCCAGCATGATTGCTTCCCATATCCTGAATCTCCTTCATGCTTCAAACATCTTTGACTTCTCTCCTCTGGCATTAGTCAGAGAAAAAGAACTTTTAAAAGTCTCACTGATTAGATTAGGCATGCTACATATCTTAAAATTAATGGAATTGGGAATTTAATTACATCTTCAAGCTCTCTTTCCAGTACAGATGCTCCTTGATTTACAATGGGGTTATGTCTCAATAAACCCATCATAGGTTGAAAATAGGTAAAAAATACATTTAATACGTCTAATCTACCAAACGTCATAGCTTTGCTCAGAACACTTACATTAGCTTACAGTTGAGCAAAATCACCTAACACAAAACTTATTGTATAATAAAGTGTTGAGTATCTCATGTAGTTTATTGAATACTGTAAAGTGAAAACCAGAATGGTTGTATGAGTACTCGATGCATGATTTCTACTGAATTAGTATCATAAAGATGAAAAATCATAAATGTTAAGTTGAACCATTGTAAGTCAGGAACTGTCTGTAGTGTCTAGGTTAGTATTTGATTGACTAGCCAGGAATGTGGGACTTAGGGGGAGGGTCATCTTTAGTATTCTGCCAATCACAATACATGTAATGGAGCATTATACAACTGTGAAAGGGACAAGGACAATTTCTATACACAGCTATGGAGTCATCTCCAAGGTATATTATTATCCTGAAAAAAGCAAGATGAAGAAAAGTATTTACAGTGTACTACCTTTTTTCTAAGAAAGGGAGTGAAAACAGAAAATATATGTACATTTATTAATATTTTCAAAAGGAACTAATAGAAAGGTAAATAAAAAATTAAGAAAAATGTCAATTTATGGGGCTGGGAAGAGAATAAAGAACAGGGACTGGAATGAGCTGTACTTCTCTAAATGTACTTGGTTTTATAGTCTAGTCTTAAGAACCATGTAAATGTTTTATGTAATTTAAGAAAATGATAAAACAAAGCAATTTCTAGAAACTGGAAGCTACCTGTGTGTCAAGTTTGTAGTATAACTCCTCAGAGAAATTTAAAGTAAGTTATTTTAAATCATAGTACTATGGCAGAATATTTCTATCAGAATATATTTTAGGGACCAAAACCACATTAAGAAACATTAAATTGCATCCAGTATTCTTGTTGTCAGTGCTAATATTTGTATTGCTGTCTTGAAACTATTATATGTATGTATTTCTCTTTATATATATGAAAAAACTAATAATTATGCCAATTTCAATAGTAACTAAGATTTTTAGCTTAGAAGAAAACATGCAGTTAATAATTAAGATAAAAATTACATAAAATTATATCATTCTTAATTTGAATAAAATGTATTAGGATAAGCTTGACTTATTTTTCATCTTTTTAAAGAAATTATATATTTCATAGTTTTATCTACTTGCATTAGTTTGCTAGGGTTATTATAACAAGGTATCACGGACTGGATGATTTCAACAACATAAATTTATTATCTCACAGTTCTTAGGCTACAAATCCAAAACCAAGGTGTCTGCAGGATTGGTTTTTAGTGAGGCCCTTCTTCTTGACTTATAAATGGGTGCCTTCTTCCTGTGTCCTTATATGGCCTTTCTTCTGTGTGTGTGTACTCATGGTGTCTTTGCCCTCCTTATAATATCATTCCTGCTGGATTAAAACCCCACCTATGTAACCTCATTTAGCCTTAATTATCTTCTGAAACCTCCAGATACAGCCTTGTATCTAAGTACAATCACATTGAGGGTT